GTTTTGCTGTCAGTCTTTGTGCCCTCTGTGCTGCTCTGGTTGAGACAGATGACCCTGCAATTACCATAACCGTGATGCTAAGTACCAAAGGGCAGCTTTCTCTTAGGGGGAAGCCAGAATACCGCCCAAATTTAACACCCCAAAGCCAACAAGTACCATGGGCATCCAAGCGCAGGAAGCACTGGCTGCAAAATTTGGGCTGTCAGAGGTGCTGTTCACACATAGCTTCTTAAAAACCATTTTTAGCTGTGAGCAGCACCACCTTAATGCTCCCAGGGACGAGTGTAAGCATGACTCAGTCCTGACTCATGTAGCATCATGGTGAGTCGCACCCACCCAACCACCATGCAAGGAGCTGTATCCACCCCCTCCCCAGCCCATCCAACCCTCCCAGTGCTGCCCACGGGCAGGAAAACTAACTCCAACCCCCAAAATCTTGGCCAAAAAAGAAAAAGGAGGGGGGGCCGCCTGTCAGAAGGGATGCATGGCAGGAGGGGATGGTGGGACATAGAAAGGAGCAGTTTTCTTTCCACTGCTGCTGGGGCCGCCTGGATTTAACCACAGTAGAAAAGCAGGGAGGAAGGCAGAGATGGAGCGGGTTGGACGCGCTGCAGTTCAAACACACCTGGTGAACCAAGCTAAAAGCCATCAGGAGAAGGCAACTGGTCTTCCTGCAGCATCTGTCGCCGTAAGAAACCTCAGGGAGTCTGATTTTATGCTAAACAACTTTAACGATTATCATTACAACCATGTAAAACACAGCATCAAATACTCTGGAACAGTCTGTTTGGATCAGCATAAAAAAGGAATAATTTTTTTTCCCCCCCCAAAACTTCTTTACAAAAAAACTCCCACAAAAAAAAAAAAGCACAGACATAAAAATGTTTTTTTAAAGTAATAATTATAATACATTACAAAGAGTCACGGAGGAAGCGTTCCACGCTGTAAACAAGAATTGCAATTAAAAAGAAAAGCAGATGGCAGCCGGGCTCTCAAAGTGCACGGCCGAGAGACCCTGACCTCAACCACCATGCCACGCTGGAGCTGGTCCCCAGCACCAGTCCCATGGCTCCTGCTGCCCGCCAGCACCGCAGCCACTCAAAGTGCTCAATTACCAACCAATAAAAAAAAACACACCCAAACAAAAACAAACCCCAAAACCCAAACCCCAAACCCACAACATTGGTCTTTAAAACTACCTGGAGCGCAGCGAGGTGAGAGTCGTCCCAGGACTACGAGGACGAGGGAAGCTGCTTTCCTGAGTTTGCTCGTGGTAAAAGTGGCTTTTGCCAAGGGGCCGAGGCCGCTGTAGGAGGCTGGGTCAAGGGTGCAAGTGGCTTGGGCCAGTTCTTTGTCCTACCACCCCTTGCTCTTCTTCCCTTCCTATCCCCAGCAAAAGAGCTGAAGCTGGGCCATATCCTGCCACGGCTGCACCATCATCTGCAGCAAGAGGTGGAGAAGGAGAGGAGGCTCAGTCATCTCCGAGTCAAGGATGCTTTGGTGTGCTGAAGTGACAACATCCCTCCAAGGAAAGCCATGCACGTTGGTGGCTCCCAGCCACCTAGGGCTACTTTGCCTCCAGGAACTCTTCCCAAATCTGCCAGCTTTCCATGGCTGGAGGTTGGAGAAAAGCTTCTTAGGTGGCACAGGGAGGAGCCTGGAGCCCTTCCCAAGCAAGAAACACACTGGTAGGAATGGGGAACCTGTGTCTGCCTGGTCCAAAAGTCACTGAAACCAGCTGGTGGCTTTCTCCAGGCTTGCAGATGCCCGAGGACCATTAGGGCTTGGAGGGGAGGAATCTCCTCCCCAAATTCTTGTTGAACACCATGCACCAAATGCCATGCAATGGGTACTGTGCAGCTGACAGCTCTCCAAAAATTAGAGCAAACCACCTTTTTAAATGTGAATACTGCAAAACATCCCAGCCACACGCTGGGTGAGGAGCCCGGGCGCACATGCAACGTGATGTGCAAAGGCTGTGTGCCCAAAATGAGGGGAAAAAGGTCAAAATGAGCGGAAAGAGATCTCAGCTCTTCCACATGTAAGCCAAACGCTCAGACACATTAGCAGGAGTCCTATGTGTGCTTCAAGGAGAGGGGACAGACCTCCCCACAAGCTACAGAAACCAAGGCAAGAGGTGACCACCAGCCCTCAGATGCTTCCCAGTGAGCTCCAGTGGCCAGTGGGCTTCTAGCGGAAGGCAATCGCTACCTGTCCTGAAATACTGCCCAGGTATTTTAACACACAAATAGGTTTAACTGACAAAATGTACTCTAAATTAAAACCAATTTCAGCACCATTGTCCTAGAAAGGACTCGTGGTGTCTCAAAACACAAATACTGAACATTCATACAGGATTTCTCCTCAAAAAGCGACTTTTGACTCCTCACAACACCCCTGTGAGGTAGCTAATAGGGTTATCCCTGCTTTGCAGAGGAGAGAGAGGATGGGCAAGGTCGGAGACTCGGCAGAAAATGGGGTTGTCGTCAGAGCAGGGCTTACAACAGAAGCTGAGGATGCTGTGGTCTGGCTGGCTACATCGAAAGAGGGGGTGCTCCCTTCTGCTAACATAAAACCAACACATGCACACAAGAGAAAACCAAAACAAAACCCCTCAAAGCAATTTAGTGGAAGTTTTTCTGCTGGGCTTCCAGGCAGGCTTCAGATCAGGTTATGTTACTGAAGAAGCCTGTGAGATTAAAAAAAAATAATAAAAGTTTTCAAAGGCTCCTTAGAACTTTCTCCATTGAAGGGATGGGAATCCCACCTGCAGTCCTACCTGAGGTGGTATCTGCAGCCATCCCTTCTGGACAGCAGAGCCAAATACAGCACAGCTGGACTAGGTTATTTCTTGCTATTTCCATTGACTTTTCCTTCCTGATAAAGCCCTTTCAGCTGTAGAGGTGAAATGGATACTGGGAACAGGAGTTTGGCCCAGTTCTTTCAGTGGGATGAGCTCTCCCCGGGTCCCTGCACACCTGCAGCCAACGGTTTGACCCCCGGGGATGGGGAGGAGACGGACTGGGTGCATGAAGGGCATGTGGGCACCCATCGTGTTATCGCCTCAGCAAGTGGGCTGTGCTGACGCCGATGCTCTACAGCATCATCTTCCAAACGTCCATGCCCAGATTTCCCTCCTTGGTTGTTGGTTTCTGGGGGAGCTAAACCAGAAGGGCTGAGCTCAGGTTCTGGGCAATGTGCTCCCCTGACAATTTGCTGAAGATAAAAGCAGGCTTCAGCTTGGGCACCATGATTAGACACCATCACACCTCCAGCACCTTGCTAGTGAAGGCAGGAGGTTTCCCAAGGCAACAGCTCCTTTTCCCATTCAGCCAAGGGAAAGGCAGCAAGCCCGCTCACTGCCCTGGACCTGCAAGGCAGCAGAAAAAACCGCTCAACCCAAGAGACCAGGCTCAACCTTCATCACTGTCTGTATCGCCTTGAGAACTTGGGAAGGAACAATGCTGGTGCTCCTCCACCGGGGTCACACCAAGGAGACCCTCTCCAAGGGATTCACCCGCTGTTAAACCTCCCCTCCCAAACACCATCCACCACCGTGGCAGGAGCCAGGCATCGCTTTGTCGAATTGCATAGAGTAACAGCCCTGCCTAAAAACACTGCTCCTACAACCGCGGGTCTGGGAAAAGAAAGAAAAATCTATTGCTACAAAGGCCTTTGAAAGCAACGTTGTTGGCTGCACTGAGCGGGCATTTTAAAGAAAGCATTTTGGACTCCTATGCCTTGTGCCCACTTCCACGGCCATGGGTACCCATGCCGTGAAGAAAACACACCAACACCCTCACCAGCCTTGCCTCTCCCCTCCACGTGATGAGGCGGACAAAAAAAATGAAAGCACTTTCCAATTTGTCCACAGGAAAGATGCAAACCCAATTTGCTGGTGACTCCTAATGCCGGCAGCCACCGCTCCATCTCCTCGCCGGGCGCTCGTACCAAAGCACAGCTCAACAGGCGATGGCTGCTGTGCTCTCACCCCGACACAGCCCTGCTGAAAGGAGAGGGGGGTCCCGAAAATGGAGTGAGGATGCTGCTCCAGCACCCACTTCTCCCTCGCCTCCCTCCGTCCCCTCTAAAACGTCACCGATTTGGGCAGCTTTTCCAGGGGAGGAGAGCCTGAAAGGAAACTGTTCTCCGAGTGGGATTTGGCAACCTGCGGTGGGAATTTTGGTTTGGGGCTCAGGGGGGGTCGTGGGCTTTTCAGTGCATTTAATGGTTTCTGGAGACTTTTTTTGGCATCTACCTCCTCCGAGTCCAGCGCAAGAGGTGGTGGCATGGAGATGGCAGGCAGGGGACACCCAGTCTCTGGCAAAGGCAATGCCACCTGCTTTCTGCTCAAGAAGTCCTGCTCCGTCGCACAAGCCAGGTGGAGGGGAGTGGTGGTTTTGATAACGGTGTAGGGGCTGTCCCCCCCCGCCGCAGGGGGGCACGGTGCCCGCTGGAAGGGGCATCCCTCACCCAGCCCCGCTGCCTCTGACTCGCTGCCAGCTAAGATGGGCACGCTGCCGCCTGCCAGCCCGTGCACCGGCAGCACACCTGAGTCCTCCGGCCAGCGCACGGTGCCGATGGTGCTCCCTGGCCCGTTTTGCTGTAGGCTGGTGAGCTCCCCCATGGATGCAGCTTTGGATGCCAAGCGCTTCAAGTCCATTTTGTCCAGCAGCACCGCTCTGCGGTGCTTCTCGGTCATCTCCTCACTGCAGGCGCTCTCGAGGCAGCTGTCATGCTGCGATATGCCGGAGAGCTGCTGCCAGCTGCCTGGGAGAGGATGATGAGGTGCATGGAGGGCTTTTGTCTCTTTGCAGAGGGAAGATGCTTGTTCTCCTGCTGGCAGGGCAGCAGGATTTGGCTGCCGTACAGTGTGGTCCGTAGCAGAAAGCTCAGTGGTGCTCGAGGTGGGAGGACTCGACATGTTTTGGAGAGAGGAGTCCGAGGAGCCGTGCTCAGCTGGGGTGGGGAGGGAGACCGACTCGTGGTCCACCATGGCATCATCGGGAGTGGGAAGAGGCTGCTCCAGAGGCAGGGCTGCAGGCAGGAGGTGATGATGGGCCTGTGTCTCGCTTGCCTTTAGAAGAGAACCCGGTGGTTCCCCCCCGCCCCTCCTCTCCCGGCAGCCCCTCGCCAGGAGGATGCGGGTGGGTGTCCGTCGCTTCAGCTGCTTCACTGCCCTGAAGGGTGGGAGTCCTTGCCTCTGCTGCCATCGTTCCTCCTGGCATCCCAGGACCTTTGTGGGGATGAGGGTCCCTGTTCGGGGGATGCTCACCCACCCGACCATTCTGGCCGTTGGCCACCATGTTGCCCTTCATGGCTACCGGGTTGAGGGAGAGCTCCAGGCCCAAGGGTTTCCGTGGGAACTCCTCAGGCTTTGCTGCATTGGAAGCAGAGAAAACAAAATAAAACCCAAACTGTGCATCAAGTTCATTTTTCCATCCGGCATGCCGCGACTGCGGGGAAGACAGATGCTGCACCCAGCAGGTGTCTGCCCTTCTGGGCTGCCCCAGCTCCCAGCCACACCAGAAGTATGCTCTGGTCCCCACGGGACACAGGGACCACCAGACGATCCCGTTGGGCCGCTCGCCTTCCCCTCTACCCACCTGGCGGGGGGAGGTCAAATTTCATCTTGCGCAATTCGGTCATCGACACCTGCAGTTGCTCGATGACGGCATCGTCCTCGTATTGCAGGGAAGCAGCGATTTTCTCCTGCAGAAATTCCCGTAAATCTTCCAGCGTCATCTTCAGCAAGCGCTCTGGGGGGACAGTAGAAAGGAGCAAGGGCAGTGGCACGGCCAAATTGCAAGGTAGCACGAGGATGGGTTGCATTGCTTTGGTTTTATCTGGGATTCTGCTGCTGTTCCCACTCCGGGGTGGGACAACCTGAACACTTCTGCCTCTCTCCCACCTTCCTGCTGTTGCTCAGGTTTGTCCATACATTTACATATCTGTGCCACCTCTGGGCAGTAGCTCAGCAACGGCAGGACAATGGTGGGGCTGGGACCTACGCTGACCAGGACGCACATTTTGGGCCATTTCTGGAAGTTCTCACCAATACCTCTAGGAGGAGGAAAAGCTCCATGAGATAAACCCCGAGCATCGAACTGAACAGCCACTGCCGGCAACCACCACTGCCAGCCAAGGACGGCACGAGGCAGGGATGCGGGCAGAGATGCAGACTCCCACCAGGGATGCAGGATTCAGGCAGGGATGCCGATCCGCACCACACATTCCTCAGGGAAAAGAGATGATTTCATAGCCAAGCTAAAACTTCTGCCTGCCTCCCAGTTTCCCAGTCTTTGCAAACAAATGGGATACTTGAAGATATATTTCTGGCTAGCCTGTTCTTCATTTAACTGAAGGACGAGCAGGGTGGCTGTTTGCAGAAGCCAAGACACGCGGTCCCAGAAATCCCACTGGCCTAAAGGTTCCCAGCTATCAGCACCGCTAACAGGGTGACAAAGCAAGGCTGCTGGCTTACGGGAGCAGAGGGGTTCCAAATCCCAAAGATCTCAAGGTAGAAACATCACTGCCTTAATGTTACATAAGAAAACCAGGTTTTGGCCATTTTAGAAGTATATTAATGGGTTTATTTCTCACTCTACAGCTTTTTCAGCTGAACTGCCACATAGAGCTTTGCAGACAGATGGGGTGGTCTGTATTGCCCCTAAATAACTGTTGGTAAAAGATGTGGGGTGCAGCATGCAGAAAAAGGCAGTTGGGAGCGTTGCAGGTGGGGTTTGCTGTGTGTCAAGCGCAGCGTTTCCAACCCCTACGACATCTCATTTCCTCCCCAGAGCATCAGCACGGGACTGTGCTTTTTGGGGCCAGCACAGGGCTGGTAGTGGCCAGCAAGGCTTTCCGGCGTAGCACAAAGGTGGCCCAGCACGGTGCCACCTCTGCCATGAGAGACTGGGTTCTGCTGGGACCTTACTTTTGTGCAGTTTGAGGATGGTGTAAGCCATGGCCGTCAGCACCCGCTCTCCTTCCAGGATGTAGATATCCCACAGCCGCAAGGTGAGGGTAAAAGGGGTCTGTTTCAAACACACAAACAAAAAAACCAGCTCGTTAGCACCACGCTCGTTAACACTGATCAATGGGATGATTGAGAGGTTGGTGGCATCACTACAGCCCCTCACACAAAAACACAGAACAGGGCAAGGCATTGGATGTCCAGGATTCATCTATAACACAAAAATCTATTTTATCACCTGTGGTTTTGCCTTAAAGCTAACACCCTTGGGTGGCCAGGAAAGTACTTTAAACTCAGCTGCTACTACAGAAAAAGGAGAAACTTTCCATACAGGCACGCTAGCACATGGATTCCCCTATGCTGGAGGGCGGATCGTCATCTTTCAGCCTTGCAAGCACACAAAACCGCTGCTGTATCCATCCAAATTGCCCAGACAGATGAAGGGCTATTTATGGGATAGGTCTGAAGGCCCAATGGTGCTTCACTAAGTATTAAAATATCACTACTTTGGTGTCTAGAGAAGTGGTCTTCCTTATGCACAGGCTTATTTCTGCCTGCTTGCTTAGAAAAATCTCTGCAAGAAGTTTTTATTTGCACCCAGATCCAATCTGACAAACAGGAGTGAACCAATATCCAAAACGATGGAGTAGCCCATCATCTCCCAGCAAAGATTTAAGGCATCTCACCAACACAGAAATTAATACTAGTCCTACTGTGCCATTTAAGTTCAAATTTAAGATGCTGTGCTTACTCTCCAGAGTTTGATGTGACTGGTCATTGCAGTTCTTTTACCACATGTTACTGCAGTTAAAGGGATTTTGCATTTTATCCAGCTTTTAGTGATCGACTGCAAAGCAGTGAGTTCCCTCTCAAGGGGAAGAGGTCATCCCGCTGTTTTATCGGGAAATGGGGCAGCAGAAAATTGAGACTGGGGACACACAGATGTCCTAAACATTAGCAAGTCCAGATCTTGCATTCAAGTATGCAAGCACAACATTGCCCCTAAAAATAAAGTAGTCTTGCCTCAGGACTGGCAAATTAGCTCTGGACAAATCGGCGTAATTTTCTCACGCTTTCATATGCATTCAGCGCTCCTTCGCCTGCAGTGGCAGCAGTGCTATTTGTTGAGGTTTGTGCCTCCAATTCTTCTCCTGACGTTGTTTCCAGAGCCAAAGTGAGGTTAATTACCTTTGCAGCAGTGCCAGTGGGCGAGAGAAAGATTGCTCTCAGCTTTGAAGCTCATACAGCTGCTGCTGAGCCATCTCCCAGCGACCGCTTGCGATGAGGCAGCAGGGATTAGTTTGTCATCGGTGACGTGTCGTTATTTTTAACTTCTCCCTTATTAATTTTTTTTGCCTAATAAGACTGTGCATAATATCCCACCTTATAAGATATTAACACCTTCTTCAAACTGATACTTTTTAAAAAAAAAAAACAAACAAAAAAACAGGTGGATTAACCGTGCATGCAAACAGCAGAGCAGCAAACAACCTGCAGAGCATCCTCACCCGGTCAATGAAACACTGCAGGAACCATTTCGTCGTGTAAATCCCTGTAGTCATCTGCTCCTTGTCCTAGGAAGAGAGAGCAAAAAGAGAGAAGTGTTTCACATCAGGTTGGCTGCTGGAGGTTCAAGCAACAACCAGGGCTTTTGGGGAGTTGGTTGGTTTATTAATGTTGGGGTCTGGGGGCAGGATCTGGCTGCGGCTTGTCTCCCAGCAAAGTCCCTGCTTTAAATACCAGTGTGGAAGCCCTGCTTTGGCCCTTTGCCCATGATATTCCTTGAACCTGATCCTCAACATGTCCAGGCTTCAGCCACAACTTTGGAGAGGGATTTCTAGGAAAAGTTTTTTTGACCTAATATCTGCTCCAAGGATTTACAAAAAACCTTCCAGGAACCCAAACCACACACTCCTATTTTTGTTTCCATAGCAATTCCCATGTGAGCCTCTCAGAACATCACAAAAATTATTAACCCCAAGTATCCCACAGGTCAATCCAGACCTGCACAGCCAAGCCAGCTTTGTGAGCACTACCTCAATTTGCTGCCGCAGGAGCAAAATGGCCTGACAAGCTAAGGAAAACTCTTAAAAACCTCATCATCACCCCGGTCTATGACTTTGCCATCCCTGTCTGGTACCCGGCGCTTGCTCACAGCTTTGCTTTTTCTGGCACGGCTGATGGCGTGGCACGGCTGGTGCTGGGATGCACAGCACCCTGCACGTACAAAAAGTCGATGTGATGACTGCTGCAAAGCCAGCAAAGCGGCAGAGGTGGGAAGAGAAAGAAGCCCATGGGATTAATGGCCAGCTCTGGTCTTTGCTTTTGGCTGGTGCTGGGCACCAACAAGCCTGGGGAGCCTTTGGGAGCTGGGAGACAGGAGCAGCTTTCAGAGACTTATTCCCATCCTCCCCACCCAGGTTTCCCCCTCAACCCTGTGGCTATAATCAAGTGAAAACCTGTCTGGTTCTGTTTGCAGCATGAAGCAAGAGCTGTTGCAGATGATGGCAATATAAACAGCTTTTCCTCAAGCTGGGCCACCAAGCCCCTTGGGAGCGTAAGAAACCTTCAGGAGTCTGGCCATTGAATACCAACTGTCTACAGTAAATGCAAGGGGGGGACAAGAGTGAAAAAAAAAAGGGAGCAGGTGTTGCAAAATAGTCGCTGAGACATTGGGCTGCAGTCAGTGGGTCCTGCAGATGCTCCTCCAGCCACCAAATGGGCTTGTACCATCTGCTAGAGAGAAAAACAATTGGACATGCCCAAGCAACAAAATGCACAGCAAATCTTACACGTCTCCTGTCTTTAAACAGCAAAGCCGTTAAATGCAAGCACTTGGGGTTAATAATTACTGAATTAAAACTCCAGACAGTCCAGTATCACCCTTTGGGCTTTGCAGCTCGTGTAAGAACACAGCCCAGCCTGGCTGCTGCATGCAACAGCTCCTTTTACTGCAGGCTCCTTCAGCCTTCCTGCCTGACTTTCCTAAGGAAGCCTTTAGATTTTTAGCAGTCCCTACATTAACAATGACCGGCAAGCAAATGATAACCATTTGCTTCAGCAAGATTCAGGCACCTCATTTAATAAACGCTTGCCTCTTTGTGGCTGAAGCAGTCCTACGCGGTTAGAAACATGTGCAGTTGTGCATCTATTTGGCAGAACATTACACTAATTGCTTTAGCATTAAAATGCGGTATGAGTATGGGGAGACTGATAGCAAAGAGATACCATGTGCTTCTTCAGCTTAGGAAACAGTTTGCTTAAAATCTGTTCGTGGTGAGCTTGAAATCTCTGCAGCTTCGGGAACCCCGGAATGAAAAAACCTTAATGAGAAAAGATAAGAGAAATAAAAAAATAATCAGAAAAGCTCTGGAGCAGTCACAGGGGCAGCCCGATTTTCTAGAAACTCATCCCATGCGTTGCCTGTTCAAGTTGGCTGGACCACAGTGTGCCCAGCTACCTCCCTCCGCATCCTTCCCAGATCCCACCCTTCATCCCATCTACATGGGCAACAGCACCCTCAGCACCAACCCCAGGCTGGTCCTTCTCACCCCAGCCCCGCAGAGGAGATTTGGCTTGGCCAAGACCTCTCTGAATGCATCTTAGTGCTTACCAAGGTTGAGAGAAAAAGCTGAAGATGTTCAAACACCACACCCGTGGGTAGCACCTCGTAATATAGTAGAACACACATTTAAGACTGACCAGAGTTATCAAGCCATAAGGCTTAGCCCTCTGCTCATAAAATAATCCTCTGTGCATAGATTACTGCTAACCACAAGTAAGACGAAAGGATCTTTAATGTGCTTGAAATAAAATAATACTGCATGTTTGGTGGAATTATATCTTCATAACAACACAAGGGCACATAGCTCGTGGCACGCTAAGAATGGAGCATTACATGATGCTTCTGTGAGACTTCTTAAAAACTCGTAACCTTGAGTTAATTGATTGCCAAGGGCAAGGCACTCCAGAGGGAAGATAGCACCTCTGTCAAAGTGTTAATTACCAAGCGTGGTTAATTACTACAGCTCGGTGACAATAAACCACATTTCTCCCTGATGAACCTGTCTGCCTCCAAGAGTGAAGTTCAGCTCTGTAGTTGGGTTGCGTTGGCACATAATTAAGCCTTACCCACTTTAAATAAGTATGTGAGGAGAAACAAGGCTCTACCAACAAACCTAAACAGCCTTCCCTCCCGTCGTAAGAGCCCCCACCCGCATCCCACCCCAGCCTTACCATGCATGGCGTGCCGCTGGTTGGTCAGCAGCTGTGCCAGTGCCCAAAACGCATCCTCTTCATTCAAGTACATCAGGAGGATAGCTGCGATCTGGCTCATCCCTTGGCAGTAGCTCACCTCCTGCAAGAACCAAGAGGGACACGCGTGCTGCCACGCCGTCAGACCTCACCATGGTGCTAATTTACAGTTGGACTCGATGATCTTAAAGGTCCTTTCCAACCTAAACGACTGTATGATTCTAAAGATGCAGAAACAGGTCAGGCTGCCTGTGCTGCCCTCTCCTCTTTCAAGGTCTGACTCGTTTCAAGGTCTTTATCGTTAATGCCCAAATTCACAGCTCCCATATGTCTACAGCATCTACCATGTCACTGACTCACAGACTGGTTTGGTTGGAAGGGACCTTAAAGACCATCCAGTTCCAACCACCCCTGCCACGGGCAGGGACACCTTCCACCAGACACGGTTGCTCAAAGCCCCATCCAACCTGCCCTTCAACCCTTCCACAGAGGGGGCAGTCACAGCTTCTCTGGGCAACCTGTGCCACTGCCTCACCATCCTCACCAGGAAGAATTTCTTCCTAATATCTCATCTAAGTCTTCCTTCTTCCAGTTTAAAACCCTTGTCTCTTGTCCTATCACTCCAGGTCCTTGTAAAAACTCTTTCTGTATTTCTTATCAGCCCCCTTTATTTATTGAAAGGCCACAACAAGGTCTCCCAGAGCCTTCTCCTGGCTGAACAATCCCAGCTCTCAGCGTTTCTTCATGGGAGAGGTGTTCCGGCCCTCTGACCATTTTTGTGGTCCTCCAGCGGGATGTGAGGGGCGTGCAGGCAATACTCCCCACCACGTCCCTCCCCCCACCAGCCCAGCTCAAGTCTGGAGGGTGAGGGACAGAAACCCCAACATAAGAGGTGCCTGCAGCTACTTTAAGGAACAGGGGATGGGATGACAAACAGCATGTGGCTCTGATGCTGTTTTGGATTCCTTCAGTCACATAAGCACTGAAGTAATCAAAGAATAAATAAATCTGGTAAGCATTTATCTGGTATGAGGGAAGGCAGCGTTTTGGCTTTTTTCCTTGATTATTCCCCTGAGCATCTTCTGTCCCTTCTGGGGTAATTGTCCCCTCCTGGAGATGAAGGCAGTAGGTTCAGCTGCTAATTTAGGCTTGTTCTGCCCATGCCCTTCAGCTAAAAATGACTGGTTCGCCATAATAAATCAGTGTTTTCAACAAGGATGCCATTCAGCGTACGACAAGAAGTCAGAAACATGATGAACCTTCAGCCAGGATGCTAGTCTTGCTGGAAAGCCAAAGGGCAATCTCTTGTTCTTTGCTGACACTCGCCCAAACCACATCTGCCAGATGTCATTTCCCAGGTGACAAAATGAACAAGGGAATGAAACAACTGTGCAGAGAGTCTTTTGCTGCTTGCGAGTCTTGCAGCTGTCTGCACAAACCAGTATTAAAATTGAAATTACCACTGGCTAAATGCAGGGGGTGTATATATATTTACACACATACATGTACACACATATATAAATATATATAAAGCTTTTTTAAAATCTTTTTTATATACATTTAAAATTTATATATATGTTTAAAAAAAACCCACAATGCTATTCACTTTAACTGGACCAACTTACTACTTACGGTGTTATAAACAGAGTATGCTGATAGGACATGGAAGAGTGCCTGTTGCCTGGGGAGAAAGAAGGATGTTAAAACACCTGAGCATGAGATCTCCAGCTTCATGTGCACACTGACGTGTACAGACAGCAAGTGAAGGCTCTGAAAACACCCAGCCAACTGGTATTTATGCCTTTCGCAAGGAGCAGGGCTCACAGAACCAGAAAGCACCTTGATGGGCATGTGGGATGAGATCTCTTCCTTCATGAAGAGGTCCTTTTTCCCTTCCCTCCTTGCTAAAGGAGCCATCAGCATACAGATACGCAGTGCAGGTTTCCTTGCAGAGTGTACGTCTGTGTGGGGCAGCTGGACGTGACTCATCCAAGTGACAAAGTCACTTTGTCAAACCTCTCCGAGCCCATCTGTTGTGGAGGCCACGTCCACCGCATCCCACCCAGCTCCTGATGGACCCATTTCATCATCCCAGCCATCCCAAACCAAGCCCTCCTGCCACGGCAACCCTAGCACCTTGGGGGGATGAGGCATCGCAACGGGATGATGCTTGGCTCAAGAACTGGGGCTGACCATGGTCCAGCGTGGACCTCTCCGAAGAGCAAATCAGCAGCCCAACATCTGTGGGTCATACCATGTGCTGATGGTTCGTGGAGCAGGCAGAGATGGTTTTGCTCTCCCATGAGCTTCTCTGAACCACGGGGCTGATGACCACCGCATCCAGTTCATCGCACGCCCACCCACCAGCACTGATGGCCGTACAGCCACGCGAAGCCTCCTGTACTCACTTCACTCCGTAGCGATCCCGAAACATGATGTGGTTTCGGAAAGTGCGGTTAACGTCCAAATCTATCTGCTTGATTTCCGATGAAAAGCTCTTTGCTTGTTCTTTCATTTGCTGGAAGGAAGAGGAGGAAAGACATGAGGAAGGAGTCAGACATCACCTCAGCCCACACCTCTCTTCACACAGCGAGAAGACATGCTTCCTACCGCAGGAGCAGCAGCTTTTGAAGCCACACAGAGCCATCGCACAGCAATTCAGGGATGCTGCTGTCTTGCAGCGAGCAATGATTTACAGCCCGGAGGTGAATCCCCAGCCCTTTGGCTCTGCTGCTGGCCCAGGGAGAAGGGGACAACCCCATCCTCACATCCTACAACAGCAGCAGCTGCCAACCCAGCCTTCGCCCATCCTTCAATGCAGATACTGTTTTCAGAATCTAAAACCTTTACAATTAAATTCCATTCTGATTTCTTTGGATTTCTTTGCAGTACTCAGTCTGGCTGTCATAAAGCACTGAGACCTCTGTTGGTGTTTAAGGGATGATACACCTCCTTATGGAAGGATACACTTCCTTAGGGAATCAACACACAGATGTATGCACCAAGTCCCTGAGCTTTTCAGAGGCTCAGTCATAATAAAGTCCAAACTGTTATGACGGATTCTACTAAGTGATCTCCAACTACTACTTCCCCTGTGAAAAGAATCATCTCAGGTTTAAGGAGTTTCCACTAGAAAAACAGTTCTGGGGTCCTTCCTTGGACTGGTGTGAATTTTAAGGAACTGGTAGAGTCCAGAACAGAAGCTAAACTCAAAGTCAGTAATTCACACCTTCCCCCCCTCCGCTTGCTAATCATTTAAGGCAGCACCACGCAGATAAAGGACTGAAGTCCACTGCAGAAAAACGAAATTCAAACCAAAGCTAAGTCTACCTCAACCAACTGTGCCCTCAAAGTCCTGAGCTGAAGATGTTCCATGGACAAATGCCCCTGGGGTCCCATTCAGAACCCAGTGTTCAGCCCTGTGCATGCAGGCAAGGACCATTATGCTATAGCCAAGCATCCCATCTCACCATCTTTAGATACCACCGGTGATCATGCCTTCCTTCTTTAATATCTCCCAGGTTAACTGCATTAATAAAATACATTTTGTGACTGTCTTCAGGCAGTCTGAGATCCACCACCAGATTAGGGGCGGTGGAGATGAGTGGCAAGCCCAGCTTGCCTTAAGTCCTTGGTCAAGATCCCTCCTTGCTCACATGAGAGACAGAAAATAGCACATCTGTACAGATACTTAAGCTCTGCTCCAGCTGCCATCCTACAAATGCTTGTCAGCCTGATACAAGGTGCTCCAGGCAGCTGTTGACCTCCCGAGGTGGCCACATCAGCTCTGGGGAACATCAAAAGGCAATGTGCATCCAGATGTGGCCAGCACAGCCAACACTTAGGGCACTCACAGCACCTCGGGAGTATTAACTCCAACCTTGAAAGCAGCTGTATGGAGGAACAACAGTGCAGGGGCTACTTTAAATTACTGCCTGCACAAGACAAGGGAAGCGAAAAGTGATGACGGAATGAAGATCTGATGAACAACGTCATTTCCCTGCTGTAAATCCTGTGCTCTCTGCATCCTACGACTCCTTGCCCTCTATAAAGCGAGCAGACTACTGAGTCAAGATATACACCAGGTCACTTCAGTTCAAATTTCCCTCTTGTTTTCCCTGCCAGAACAACACAGAAACCCCCCAAAACTGTAGGAGACCCTACTTTGGGGTTTTAAACCACTGCCCCTGAATAGCAGGTAGCCTGCACAGCACTTTGTCACCTCCACGCACCCAGGTGGCTTTACCAATTCTGCAGGTGGCAAACAAGAAGACCAGGACGGGTTCTTCTCCTTTTTCCCCCTTGTTTAAGTACCCACAGATGCTCTGCCGAGCTCATTCGCGCTGCGAGCTGGCAGCAGAGCAGACGCTGGGAAGCTGGAGGTCCCATCACAGAGAACTTCTACAAAGGAGTGGGTAAAAGCCAGGATGTCTCTGCTCTGCCCCACGGCCAGCACGTTTCTCCTGCCGCCTTCTCAGCTCTCCTCAAGCCCTCTTGGTTGTGGCTATAAAAGCCCAGGGAGGCAGAGCATCACGTCCATGTTGAAACCAAGTGTGGCACGTCCCATCCATCACGTCCCTTGCAGCATCAGGGACAAGTGAGTTGGCATGGCTTTGAGGAAGATGCAGACTTGCATGGAGAGGACTTGGAGGACAACTGGGAGAAGATAAAGCACTGTGGAAGTAACTGGATCAGGCTTTTTAATTGCATCACTCCAGAGGCAACACGGACACGGGAAGCAAGGTAATCTGCATGGCTGGAAAAGTAGATCCTTCACCAGCTCGAGCGCAGGGGACAGTATTATGGTTGGACTCTTATGATCTTAAAGGTCCTTTCCAACCTAAACAATTCTATGATCTCTACAGAGCGAGCACTGTGTATAAAAAAAAAAAAAGATAAATCATCTGGCACGTGCCAAGTGGCACGCTCAAAACCCAAGGCACATGGAAAAGCCAGGCTTTTGTGCCATGGTTCACGCAAAAGCCAGGCTTTTGTGCCCAAGGAGAAATGAATGTGGTCTTGGGACCAGGCCCTCAAGGACACAGGGCCGGGGCTGAGGCTTAGTCCCTTCTTGAAAGCAAAACCCCTCATCCAGGATGTGCACTGAGCATCTTCTGGAAGAAATTAGGGGCGAGCTAATTACTGATGGCAGGTTGCACTAAAGAAGAGGTAGATTAAGACGAGCTTGTAGGAGGTTTTCATCCAGCAAAGCCTATTAGCCCTGAAGCTCCTGTTTATCACAGACCCCTCCGGAGCACAGATAAACTCCTTGCGACTTTCATTTGTTTGAATTGTTTCCCTGCCTTCGCAGCAGAGCTTCGAGGGAGGGAGGACGATAAGAATCTGCACGCTGGTAGAGCTTCGTTATCTCTGCTTATTGCCATGAGCCCAGCCTGTCTTCCCTAAGCCCCTGCACATGACTCCATCCCAACGGCATCTCACTATTAACATCTATGCTTCACTAACTATAATGAGCCTTAGCATCATCCCGCTTAATAGGCAGGGATTTTTAGAAACACCTGCTGGAAGCAGCACTCAGTCTCCTGCCTCCGAAACATAACTGTCGGCACGATACCCTGACCCTCACCCGGGTACGTGATGCAAGCTAAATTGTAACACAAGTTTGGAAAATAAGTTTATTATCAACCAAGGGCTTCCACACGCTGACAATGGAAAGAGGCGGCGTAAAGGAGCCAAGATGCCCGAAATAAAAAATATACAGCAAGCCCCATCACTTGGGTTCTTGTTCAATGCATGCTACGGAAATTACTTATTTTATACCAAGGAATCCAAGCTTGCAGCATGTAGTGCTCTGGTAGGAAGCAACACAAGGCAGACTTTTCTCCTCTCTGCAGAGAAAATAAGTCCTTCTTAACAGAAAAATTACTTTTATTTGATTTTTACTAGTGATTTTTAATAAAAAATTTTAAGATAGTTATAAAAAGATTGAAGAAGCCACTTGAATCCAAGCTCTTCCAACACTGCCAGTCAACTTCCAGCTGCACATCTAAGTTGTAAGCCAGGACCCCATGCTCAGAAATCCACCCCCAAGCTTACAAGACTTGCCCTCACCCCATCCTTAATTGGGTTTCTCAACTAACAACCCCTTGTTGGCTGGTTTAAGGCTTCTGACCTTGCTGCACATTTCAAAACATCCCGAGTGAAATTTTCAAGTACACAGAGAGGCCTGGGGTACCCCCATCCAGCACCTCCTTGTTTTGGGTACTCGTCGCTACTCCGCGTCACTCCAGGGAGCTCAGGGAACCTTTGTGAGGTTATATGGTGGACAATATAACCTATAGCGAGTGACACCTTTGCTAAGCTTCCCCCAGCTCTTCCCTGCACTTTTCCCTAAGGACACAGTAACACCGACAGCATCTTTGCTCACGGCATCCAGCAGAACAAATGGAAGCAGCACATTAGGGAAATCAGCCTGCTAATGCGCTAAAAGGCCCCAGTCTAATATACACACACAGATAAAGACTTTATACCCTTTGCATTTTCAGTCCTCAGTAATTTTAAGTCTTTTCTTCTCAGAGGTCGCAGCATTTCACAGGCAAGATCTGGCCCCACCACCTGCGCACGTCGTACAGCGCTTGGCACGCTGCTACCCTGTGAGGGACGATGCACGGGCTGGGTGTCCCCCCCCAGGCCCTTAAATCATTCCCATAGGAACCCCCCATTTCCCTCCTGCCCATGAGGGTGGAGATGGAGACACCTGCATCCACCATGGGTCCGACTTGCCCCAACTGGTGAAGCTGCACCAAAGCAGCCTCCCCATCACCTTCACTGAATCACAGAATGGTTTGGTCGGAAGGACCATCTTGTTCCAACCCCCTGCCCACGGCAGGGACACCTTCCACCAGACCAGGTTGCTCAAAGCCCCATCCAGCCTGGCCTTCAACACTTCCACGGATGGGGCAGCCACAGCTTCTCTGGGCAACCTGTGCCACTGCGTCACCACCCTCACCGGGAAGAATTTCTTCCTAATACCTCATCTTAATCTTCCCTCTTTCAGTTTAAAGCCGTTAAAGCCACCTTGCTCCTGTTGTCTTTGCCAGGAAGAGCCCATACCTCATATTTTCCTTCATTCTCCTTCTTCATCTTCTCAACATCCAGCAGAAGCGACCAGACCTGGCCTCGCACCTGAAGTGGGATCCCTTTGTACACTCGTCGGCACATCTGCAGAGAGGGAAATGCGTGTAAGGTTAACTGGTCCTGCTGGTGGCAGAACAGATCTGCTCCGTGGTTTGGTTCTGTGGACCACCAGCCATCCAAGCAGACACCCCAACCGATCGCTTCCTCTGCCTGTGCTGGTGGAGAGAGGGCATCTCCAATCTGATGGATGAGCTGAGCACCCGCATCCATCAAAGACACCTACTCAGTCAAAATCCAGCCACACCTCATGCTTTTAACCTTATTGAAAGAGCTGTACACGGACCATCCCCTTTATATGTGGAGACATCTCAGACGTTTCACAGCGGTCACATTCTGGGCCCACCAGTCTGCCCTTGGACTCCTCTCCAAGGATCAGACTCAGCACCCTTGGCTTTGAAGCTTTTGATCTGACCTGGCATGGCTTTTCTCACCTGGATCCTCAGGGATTGGGAGAAAAATATATTTCTCCTTGATGAGGAGAGCCCCAGGGACGTGTCCACAGCAACTCTCACGGCTTGACAAGACTACTTGGCTACACCAAGGGCTCTCCCCTGAACGTGCAGGGTACTCCTCAAGCAAGGAGGGGGGTTGGGGACAAACGGGCATGCGTCCCTTCATTTCATCTCATCTCACAGATGCCTCTTCCCTTTTTTCTTGGCACAAAGCCCTCTCTCTCTAAAGACACCATTAAATTTCAATGGAAAACAGAAAGCTTTTGTTCCATCCCTAACTTCTCCCACTAAAAGAAAAAGCTTCATAAAGAAAAAAAAAGTGTCTCATTTCTGAATATTTTCCACCTTTTCATTCATCCCACCTGTGAAATGCCTTGCAGCTGCACTACAAAGCCAACCATGGCATTCCTCCAGGTTCCTGAGACCCCAGGGTACACTGAAGGACCTGCTGAATGCGCCCAAGCTCCAGCCATGGAGGGGATTTACGATACGACATGGCAATCCCTCAGGACCAGGAAATTCCTTGGGAAGGTGCTGGATTCCTGGTCATGGCAATAAGCTTGGGCTGAGCAAGGCAGTGCCCAAGCAGGCAATCAACTGGATCTACTGGCATTGCCTGGTACAAATGCATCCCATGTCCTTCAAAATCCCTCTTCTTTTTCCATAGGGTGTTCTGCTTCACACGTTTCGGGCTGATGCAAGAGAAGGGCGGCAATTCACGGGGAAGTATCTAGAACCTAGCAGAAGGTTTTCTGGACATGGTCCTGCCACACTGCCTTCGCATCTCTTACACCGAGCTGAACATCTGCTCCTGTTACCTTTTCCCTTCTGACCCATCTCGCATCATCAGCTTTTTCACTTCCACCTTGACTGTTTAAACACCAGCCTACACACAAGGTTATAAAGAGCATAACCATGGCACTACGCTGTCAACCAACCTGGGCTCACGGCCTCCAAGAGCACAGACCCGTGCACAGACCCCATGCTCCTCGGTTCATTACTGTTTACACAGCAGCACTGCACCTACCGAGTGCATAATGCAGCAATGATGAATCTTGTCCCAAAGAGCTAGTAGAAGATGAGACAGGAGGTGGGGTTCAAGTGGACAGGCTAGGAGATAGCAAAGAAATAAAACACTATCCCAGTCAAAGTAAGTACATAAAATAGCTATGTGATAAATGCCAAGACCACCATGTAGTACAAGGAGAGCTAGATGTATGTTAGAACACTTTCTACCCCATTATGGTAAAATATTTCATTATTTTTGCTGACACTGACAGTGCCACTGTAACGGACCTTCAACATTTAAAATCCCATTCTCAGCACTTGCCAAAAGCTTGCTCCGCCCCAGGTGTTGCTTAACAACAGCTTTGAAGGTCCAACGCATAGCCAGGACCATACCCTACAGAAATCCTTTGCCAGATCCTGCCCTCCTCTCTGTACGCACCAAATAAGAGCTGTCCCTTAAAAAGTATCTCACTACCAAGACGTGCCCACAGAAGACCACCATCCTATTCAATGGCATCCTGCATTTTAAGCAGGACATCACTAATTCACCACCTGCACACCCAGGCGAGCCACTCCTGCTTGTCCAAGCTCACATGAGAAGGTGTTTCTGGAGGACAGTAAATCTTCATGCCATGCCAGACAGTTTCAACCCTATGGCTGAAACATCAAGGAGATGAACAAGAGATTCCCATTCCCCAAGAGTCATTAAATCAGACGACAGAAGTGCAATGCATCAGGAGACACAAAGTGACAGGGTTCGATGAATCGCATCCCCAAAGTGGTACAAAAGCCTGAGTCCTGCAAGTGTTCATGACTTCACAAAGCAAAAGCTGAGACGGGATCAAGACATGGGAGTATGTACCAATTCAGATAAAATCACTAATTCAGAAAAAATTATTTCCAACAGATTAGGAGAGATTGACTGACAGCTGCCAAGACAGAAGATGATGCTCAGCTCTGTGGGAAGAAAGTAATTTTGTTTTGAGTTCTCAGAGCTGGTATTGTTTTAATGAGCGCAACCCCTACCAGCATACAGTAAATGTCTCTAATGATTTTCTCCGCATGAGAGTGTGGCAGGAACAGGGGAGTTACAAAACACGCTGAGGTGGAACTGAACCGAAATGCCTCCCTGTTATTTATCCAAGGGCCTTCCTCCTCCCACCGCCTCCAGACGTGAAAGTGATAAAACCTCAGAGCTGTGAGTCACGCAGAGGAAAAATGAGCAATTTTCCTAAATCATGAAACTTGAAGAAAAACAGGGAAGTTATCATTAAAAGCAGAATTTATGCTGGGATGAACTGATGGAGGGAAGGCAGCAGGTGACAGCAACTCCTGCTCCACGTGAGAAGAAAAAAAACAACCCTCAAGGTCACCATCTTCTGTCTCTTACGGATGGGAAAAGAGCACCTAGACCATGCCCATGGAAACGTACAGACCGACTAAGGCATGGCAGGAAGAACAGACATCATCCCGTTTCACAAATGGAGATGCTGGTGGTCGAAGGGATGGCTCAAGGTGCTGTGTCAGAGCCAAGGACTGAACCCATGGTATTTAGAACTTGCTCCAGGTTTTCCCATAGGATCATCTTCCCTCTCTAGGCTTTAACGTACAAAGCTCGCAGCACAGAGGCCATCGTCACCCCATCCCCATCTCTCCTCTCCCCATACACTTTCTTTCCAGTAGATGGGATGGGGAATGCTACAGAAGTACAGATCTGAGCTCCATCCTCCCGCATCAGAGATCTCCTCTGAGAAGTACCCAGCCAAGGGCTCCAGGTCTTTAATTAGAGGAGTGGAGTCACTGCCTTTAAACACAGGACATCTTTTTGCAGTAAAGACATTGAAGTTAGAAAGGGTTTGGGAGGGGCAGGTTGGTTTTTGAAAGCAGAAGATACACATTTCAGCTCACTTTCACACTTTGGAGCCTGTCACTGTTCGCTTCTCAGCCACGTGCACGGTCCACCAGGAAGAGACTGCAGGAGTAATGCCCAAATTTTGGGTGTGCATGGCAATTTCACTTTCAAGCCTCTCCATATACCCACCATACGTCTCCAATACCCCAACACCCCAAAGTGCGGAGCAGCCCCCCTTCCTTAGTACCTTTAGGGCTCAAAGAGTGATCTTTCTAGAGAGGAAGGACTCCTTCACTTCCTCCGCCAGTGATGTGCCAGGGGAGTTGAGCTGTGAAAATCTTCACCTGGAGTGGTGGGTGAAGCCTCCACCACTACCATCATGACCACTACCACTACGACCACCACGACCCTGGAGAAGAGAACTTCTTTTTTGCACCACGAAGCTGGCTGATTGATGATGTGGCTGTGCAAGACGCTCGACAGCCTGGACTTTGATACGCATGGTTTTCTTTCCATATGGATAATGGCTGCTCCCAACTCAGCTGTTGGCCCTGTCCTGGCTATGCCGGATGGGGTGCCAGCAGGTCTGCGGGGGCTTTGGCAGCAAAGAAGGGGCAAATTTAAATCCTAAAACTGATGTGTCGTGGGTGGACATTTACATTTATTACCACAGCTACTTTTGTGGGGAGAGGAAAATGCTACCTGCCTTTCCAAAATGGCAAAAACCAGGAGGAGAAGTCACCCAGGCCCAACCCCCTTTCTTTCCCGTGGCATTTGCAGGCAGGAGATGTGACTTCAGCTGACCCTGCCATGACAAACGTCTGCTGGCTCTCCCCAGCATTAGCAGATTATTCGCTCTTGGGGGGGCCGTGTCAGTCCATACAGATCCCCGATTCATCCTAAACCGCTTTGCTGGCATGTAGTGGATTAAGCACCCTGCACTCCCGTGACCTTAGCAGAGACAAGGCTACCCCCATACACAAAGACAGGCTTTGCCTAAAAACCAGACATCTCTGGCCAAAGACATCCCATCCCACAAGGCCAGCGGCAAGAAGCAGCTTGCAAATGATACAGAGGTCATATCCTCTTCCTAGGACTGATACTTCTGGCTGAAATCCACTTATTTCAGGGCTACGATGAATAAATTATCCCGCTACTGGAGTGTACACAGCACAGCCTCTTTTTTCTCTCAGCAAAACTGTGCTGCCTTAACTGTTTAGATTCTTACATGGCACCAACCATTTCCTAACCTTCCCAAGCAGAGTCAGGTTGGGATTTAAACTCGGGTTTAAAACAGCAGTGAAGAGGACACAGAACACCTGAGCCTCCCTGTGCTGAACTCTGAATTACACAATTTAGCACTTTTTTGCAGATTTGATGCCCCTTAATTCTGCGAAGCAGTGTGGTCCTTGCTTGGAGTCCTCTCTTTTTCTACCCTTTCCCTTGTGGAAGTACAGCCAGGAAAAGGCACCATTGCATCAAGTCTAACACCATCTATGCGAGGAATTGTGCTGGTGTCACTTTTTGCTGATGTTGCTACTGAAATTAAATCACATCACTACGAAATGTGTCTAGAACAGAGATGGAGACAGATCTGATGTGATGATGAGCACAAGGAACTCCAGGGCATCACTTTAATTAAGATAATCCTATTTGTTGCTCATCCTGAAACAGATTATACCAGGAATGATTTTAGGCATAGCCAGGCCCATCCTGGGCTTGGGATTGTAAAAGGCCCTCCTCTTGAGGGTTTGTTTTTTTTCCAGCCTTATTTCCTATAATCTGTGACCACCACAACACCCAGACTGCAACCAGCAGCACGCAGTGATGCGCAATGGCAGCAGGTGGGGGAACAGAAAGCAAAACCTGCTGCTCTCTGATGATGGCTCAACCCTCAGGTCTGAAAAAGCTGATTTCTTACCCGCTGAGGGGTCATTGCTTTGGGGCCAGTGCCCTGGGTGAGTACACAACCTCCCTCCTCCTCCTAACATTTCACAACACAGAAGTTGAGACAACCACCAAAGCCCCGATCAGGTACTAAAAAGTGTGCAAAACACGACAGCTGGTTTGATAAGGCAAGAGTCCCTCTTCATCAAGCACTCGAGATGGTTAGCTGTCTGCCAGCTCCAGCACATGAACTGGGACTCAAAAGGTTGGCCCTGAAGTCCAGAAAGTCCCAGCCTGGAAAATAAGATGGATTTCTAAATCCATCTAAAGCGGAGCCCAAGTCAGGGCAGGTTCCCTGTGAAACTGCCTGGGGTTCCTGCACACAAGAGGTTTTTTTCTTCCCTCTAATAAAGCACAGTCTGTCAAAATGAACATCAAAGGGAAAGCTCCTGTCTTCAGTAAGAGGTTTTTTTTTTCAAAGACATCCTAGTCTTATTAAAATAACACAGAGCTGCTGTCTTGTGACAGTCGGGCTTCCATCCCGTCAGCAAAGTGGCGAAAACAAACCTGAAGGAAATGTGCAATGCAGATATGACAGCCCAAGTGCTCAGAGAGGGAACAAACCCAACCCACTCTGCTGTAGAAAAATCAGATCAAGGGTTTGTCACATTTACATTAGCTAGGAAAAAAACCCATAACCATCTGAAGGGCATAACTGTGATCCCAGCAGAAGGTCCTTAAAACGTCACGTCTGAGCTGCATCCAGCTGTG